GAGAGAGAGAGAGAGAGAGAGAGAGAGAGAGAGTTTTGTAATCGTTTGTGGAGCAACGTGGACGTGTGCTTTCTCTCCAGGTTTCTTTTTTCTTTTTTCCGGTCTTTTTTTTTTTGGACAAATGCTCCAATCTATTCGTGGGGAGCAGCACCTGCTGGAAACCAGGTCCAGCGTCCCATAAGGACATTTACAGCTTCAACAAGGATCTTTTTGAGAAAAGTTGAGAGGACCTCCCCCTGCCGGCATTGATTTCCCTGGAATCCAGGGGATTAACGGAGCAGGGAACGTCCTTTGATGGTAATGAAAATGAAAAGCACTATGCTATGTCAGCAGATCTGCCTGCTTACCTATGCTGACTCAACTCAACGCACCCGACCCCCCTTCAACCCCCTTAGCTTACTCCGACAAGACTTATTACAGTAGAGCCACCATCTCTACCGCGGCTATGCCCTAGCTCAATCCTGTCGACGAGCCCCTTCATCAGCAGAACACGTGATATCCTGCCATCTCTGTATCCCTCTCAACCACTGGTCATCCTCTTCTTCTTCTTCTTCTTCTTCTTCTTCTTCTTCTTCTTCTTCTTCTTCTTCTTCTTCCTCCTCCTCCTCCTCCTCCTCCTCCTCCAGGACCTCTTCTTCTTGTTCTTGTTCTTGTTCTTGTTCTTGTTCTTGTTCTTGTTCTTCTTCCACATACACACCTGCAATAAGTCTCTGTCATACCAGCAAGACAGTCGAAATGCACCTGCTTTGACCACCTGTCAAACGACCCCCCCCCCCCCCTCCTCTTGAACCCCCTGACCCACCTGCCCTGACATGTCTTCTCCCCCATATAGCCCATAAGACCTCCAGCCACCCGACAAGGAACAGGCACAGTCCAGGATCAGAGTAGAGGATATAGACAGGGACACCATGTCCATCGATATCTCCCTCCAATCCCATGGTCATTCTGCTCTCCTCGTGATTTTCTCCCATAGTGTCTCCGACCATCTTCTCCAATCCCATGGTCATTTTGCTCTCCTCGTGATTTTCTCCCATAGTGTCTCCGACCATCTTCACCATGCAGTCACTTGAGGGTACGCAATGAAGATATGCTTGATGGTCTTCCTATACAATCTCCACACAGGCGCGATGCGCCTTTCCGTTCCAGAGAGGAGCGATCACTTATACAATCGACTGTAGGGCGAGAGTGATGTAGAAGTGGCCATAGTCGACTCCTACATTTTTGCTGGTATGATATTCTTATGTAGGCTGGGTCACCGCTCGGCCGGGCAGGCCCAGGGGGGTCTGCCCGAGAAATCCAGGTGGCCCGAAAACCCAGCAGCTGGGTTGCACGGCGTACACATACGTGGGGTCCGCAGACGTGCATACGCGTATGCATGTATGTGAGGACGTGTGCACGCGTAGTCAAAAATGGGGCCCGCGTACGTGGTCATCCCGGGCCCGAGGAGGAGTCGCCATCGCCTGTCGCCCGTCGCCCGCCGCCCATCGCCCGTCGCCCGTCGCCCGTCGCCATCACCATCGCCCGTCGCCCGTCACCATCGCCATCACCATCGCCCGTCGCCCGTCGCCCGTCACCATCGCCATCGCCCGTCGCCCGGTGCCCGTTGCCCGTTGCCCATCGCCCATCGCCCATCGCCCTTCGTTCATCGCGCATCGCCCATCGCCCATCGCCCATCACCCATCGCCCATCGCCCATCGCCCATCACCCGTCGCCCGTCGCCCATCACCATCACCATCGCCTGTCGTCCGTTGCTGTTGCCGTTGCCATCGCCCATTGCCATCACCATCGCCCCGTCGCCCATCGCCATCACCATCACCCGTCGCCCGTTGCCATCACCATCGCCTGTCGCCCATCGCCATCACCATCGCCCGTCGCCCGTCGCCATCGCTTGTCGCCATCACCATCGCCCGTCGCTGTCGCCATCGCCATCGCCATTGCCCGAGGAAGAGTCGTCATCGCCCGTCGCCCGTCGCCCGTTGCCATCGCCCGTCGCCTTCACCCCTCGCCATCGCCCGTCACCATCGCCCCTTGCCATCGCCCGTCGACTATGGGAGAAGGAGGAGGGGGAGGAGGAAGACTTCCTCCTCCTCCTCCTCCTCCTCCTATACATTTAAACATAATATATATATAATATATATTATATATATTATATATTATATATATTATATAATTATATATATTATATTATATTATATATTTTATATATTATATATATT